TTTGCTGGCTCGATTCTACCGTTGATACGGTAATGTGGACCTGCGTCGGATGTCCACGAACGTTTCATGCAGCCTGCGTGGGAGTAACTGTCCTGCGCGGTTCTATTAGAAAAAGGGATAAGAAAATTGATCCGCAGTCATATGTGCTGCCTTGTTGTAGCTCATGCCAAACGCTCGTTGCGTTAAATTTTGACATAAAATCGCTGACGGAGCAACAGACGCTATTGGCCGACAGCATTAACAATAATACCCAGGTTGTCCATCGTTCAACTCAGCAAAACAATATGGAAGTTGTGCATGAAGCCATTGATCGCCTCGAGGGACAGCTCAGTGAAATAAAAAAAAAAAAAACTTATGGGCACTAGAAGCACTGGTTCTTCTGGCAACCTAACGGCCATAAAGAACCACATAACATCGCTATTTGATATAGCGATGCAAGCGTTTAAAGAAACTATATATACGTCATTGCAAACAATAACGTCGGATATGAAAAGTAAAGCTGTGATACAATTCATGAAAAGTTGCAAATATTTTTTGCAAAAGCCCATCTTTGTAAACAACATTGCATACAAGTTGCTCCTTTGCGTGAAATGAAATACAAGTTTACATGAAAGAATGTTTACATCACAATTATAATTCAGAATTTTTTGCTGTGTGTGCGAGAGGAGATGCTCGCTCTTAGCGCGGAGAATGTCGTCGAAGAAATGTGTCGAAAGGAGGGCACCTTTAACGCCGTCAGTAGAGCAGTAACGCAGATCATGTCAGCGCTGCAGCGAAAATGGCGAGAAGACCAGCTAGAAAGTAGTAATGTGCGAATTGAAAGACGAAGCCGGAAGTACTCTCCATCGGAGTAGGCTGAATCCACCGCCGGGAGTTAGCCGAGTAGCGCTGGGAGCTGAATGGCTCACAAATTGGAGAGAGGATCAGCGAACTAGAAGCGCCAGTTAGCTGGGGTAAAGTGAGGTGTGTAATGCATAGCCCCCTCCGAAGTAATACGACAAATGGTTCAGGAGGAAAAGTGCAAGGCGTCCAAGGAGGTTTTAGTGCGCTAAGAATCCTACACACCATGTCACCGCGACGATGCGCCCGGTCATCAAGCGGTGGCATGATGGCCTTTTTTGAAGGTTTCCTCTGTACAAAAAAAAACACACACACAAGAGAATCAATTTACATTTCGCCACAAACAAAAAATGACAAAAATAACTACTGTGAACCGGGGTTAAATTGATCACCAACCGGGGTAAAATTGGATGGTTGGTGATACATACTTATGTTCCGGATGTCATCCGCGGGTTTTAAAAAAAAAATAAGATTTTTACTTTCACTTAGTACTATTTATTCATTCACGACTTTTACTTAAGCTAGTTTTCACTGCATCACTCTTCAAAACTCGTCACGCCCAGATGCTAGGTTACGAGCGTCGCCGCTTGCCGTTCCTGGGAACAACGATGAGGAATTGATGAGCTGGTCAACTGTCCGTGCTTCGTAGTGTAAACATAATTTGCTCGACCAGTTCTGTATGCGTGTGAATTCTTTATGCTTGATAATCAGACGATTTCGTACATTATAAACTTTAAACAATATGCTTTATTCTGTCATTGTCATGATCATGCTCCGTTGAAGAGGAAAACTACTGTTAATCTTAGTGTTCAATGGATTAATCCATACATAAAAAATCTCTTCCAAAAACGATCGGAAGCTTATGATTAATGGAAAACAGATAAATCCTGTGCAGCCAAATGGAATCCTTTTGCAAGGTTGAGAAAAAGGTCCAACAGCGTAGTGAAACAATCTAAGTACATTTACTTCTTTCTTCTCATTAGCCCTTCTCTTTCTTCCAATAAATTTTAGGAGAATTCGCCTTGACACCAGTCCCGAAGTAACGTTTCTTCACACACATTTTGACAGTTCCTTATGGGGTTTTGCGTTGGAGTGAGAGAATAAGAAAAAGTCCGCCATGTTTCACACATAGACTGACAGTTACATATGAGATTTCTCCATAGGAGTAAAGAGTTACAGAGCTCTCGTCAACGCTAATATAAAACGTTTGGGACTTTCAACTCAAAGTAGAGTAGGTGGTGGTGACGTGTGTAACATCACTGTCGAATCATTGAATCAGTTCTTCATGTCAAATCAAGTGCCTGTTACATTTGATGAACGATTTATGGCTTGTAGGTACTCGTTATTTTTTTTTTTTTTCATTTAGAAATGTTACAAATGAAGAAGTCCCGCATAAATTACAACCATATGATTACCATCGATGTGATGAACTAGCCTACGGCTAAAAATTACAAAAATAAAGAAAAAAAAAAAATGATTACCATATTGAAAATGGTTTATCCATAGAGGTAACTCTAAGACTAGAAGGTCCCGAAATAACGTGCTCAACTTTTTGGCTCAGCTCTGGTACTCTCTTCGGTGCCAAGCTAATCGATACACCCCTCGAAACATAGGAAAAACCAATAACCCCTCATTTTATCTGTCAAACTTTCATATCGAATCAAAACAAACATTGCGTAGTACTAGAATTTCGACTAGAATAGGGTACGTTAATCGTTTGCTTGGGACCAATAGGCTACTAAAGTGGTGAGCCAATTTAAAATCGTTAGTTTCGTATTGATTGTTGGTTTATCTTCCTGTGAAAACCATAATGAAAATGGTTCAGTCAACTTTAATCGAACCATACCTAGATAAAATTTTAAGCATATTGATTAAGGTTTTCGAAGACCCAACCATACGAACAATGGGAGGTTAATAACGTTCACCATACGAAATCTAACTTTTTCCCATAATTTTTTTGCAAAAGAACTTTAGTCTAACCACATCAGAAAAGGTTCTAGTTTGATATGTGAATCCTATTCCTATTATAGTTCGAATAAGGTAGTACGGTTTAAAATCAACCATTGTTGTTAACTTCTAGATATACTATAATACTATTGTAGCATATGCGGAACACCGCAGATATGGGTTGTTCTTTAATTTTAATGTGATTTGTAAGACTTCATTTTGCGGATACCTCCCTTACTCCCGGTATTATTTGTTATTGATTTAAAGATAAATGGAATAAACAAATGTTTACACTCAGCAAAACAAACCTCCATTCTATTTCTAGTTGATAAATATGCACAGGTAAATTGAACCTGCTTCGATTTCCTTTTTTTCATAATCTCCTGCGCATGTAGACCGCTGTTAGCCATCATGGCTGGGATTGTCAAAGACCCTAAATATGTTTGTGGAAAATACGTGCGCTTTTAAGGAATACTTTATACTGTAAACTGATATTACTTACGTTATTATTTTTTCTCGACGTTAAAACCGGTTAAAACAGGTTTTCCATTTGGAGTAAGGGTTTAAAAATGCAATAACTCAGAAAAATCAACCCAATGTACTCACGACCGCCGTTCCAAACAAAAGCGTTTTCTTCTATTTGTGCCAAGTGTAAAAACATAAAGCAACCATAAGCGAAACACGTAAGCGTTGTACATGTTGATTACAACTTTTGTTTGTAATGTTTTGTAATAGTTTAATATAGTCTCGAATAGTTGATCAACCGTAACAAAATGTAGCTGGAACATAGCAGAAACTGTAACAGTAGAAAGTAGTGTTTCTTTTATGTTGATTACATTCCGTAAACCATAGCAAAACTATTTTGTATAAAGTTAACATAGCTAGTAAGGTGTCAGTGAAGTTTTAACTGTTCTAGAAATTGTTATTTTCTTTGCGGGGTCCTGGCCGTATTTAATTCCGCGTCCAGTGATTCTATCGGCTTTGACCAGCTACCACTCAATGCAGTGGCGTTTTCTTAACCTCAATCTGCCTGTGCACCAACTTTCAAAAATAAACAATTATCAAAATATTGCTTGCAATGGATAGATATCGAGCAAACTAGAAGATTAAGTGTATTTTCCAGCCGATTCGAGTATGAATATGGCATTAAATCTGGTTTTGAAAGTTGGTGCACAGGTAAAAAGTGAGGTTACGGGACACCACTGACTCAATGTTTTGAAAATAAAAACTCTTGTTGACATACTTCCTACCATAACGAACTTATACAATCACATTTTAACAACTTCAACATTTCCACAACTTTGGAAGATAGCACGCGTTGTACCTATTGGCAGAATTGATAACCCAATGAACAACAAAAACAACTAAACTATTATCTGATTCAGTAGCCGTAAAGCCGTTGGTCCCCGCCCGGTTCATGAGTTTGATGGGTCGATAGCTAGGGTCAAGGTGTGGGAGCTCCCTCCCTGGCATCGGTAGCATTGGTGCTCAGCACGTAAAACAAGATAGGCGGAAAACAAATCAAGGGAAAAAAAGATTATCTGATTCATAATACGTTACTATACTCTCTGCAGTCTGGAAATCGTAAACATTGCAGCACTACAACAGCTTTGATTAAAATAGAAAGCGATATAAAAACTGCACTTGACAAACGTAATCCAAAAGTTCTAGTTCTTTTGGATTTTAGTAAAACTTTCGATTCTATTAATCATAAAGTGTTATGTCGCAAACTATGTTATGTCGTAGCAACTATAGCTGCTTTTACCCTACCAATTCATTTTGGAATCGTTTTAGTTTGCTTTGATTTATTTTTAAGATATTCAATTTTTCTCAAGCTCTCCTTGAATACAAGGCGGTTTCCATTGAACCAGGTCCGCTCACGAGCTTGACGATTTTTTTATGTTGAGCAAACAAGTTTTATTAAAACTAGTCGACATTAGATAACTAGATTTTCCACCGTTTAGAGGTGGCTCGTCCTCTGATGCTGTCTGAAGCAGTGCGAAAACCTAATGAATCTTCATATAAAAATCGATAAGGAGACGCATGGTAAGGTTTATCTTTTGATGATTAAATATGTGAGGAGCAAGATCCATCAATATTACTGGAAGCACTGCCAACCATGCACACGAACATTCTACTATCTCCACAACCAGATGATTTCGAAGAGTGGAAGCACTTGTTTAGTTTATCCTCAGATTTCCTTCCGACTGGTCGTGCGCGGTGAAATGCTTAGGATGTTTTCGGTGTAGTTCAATATATTAACCGCTGGAATGAAGAAAGCGAAGAAGTTAACATCAAACCTGAGCGTTGTGTTGGATTACGATGAGTGTGAGTTGAAAGGCTAGAGCCAAACTTAGATCCGTTGTGAATGCTTCTAGGAAAGCCCCACGCGGTAGATATAATAGGGCTTCGACGATATTGATAAGTGCGTTCAAGTGTGTGCAAACGGAAATTTTGGCCGGCGGGTTTTTGTTTACCAACGTTAACGGTCACTGGTGCGTGAAAAATATCTCCAATCAATAACGGCCACCGGCACCAAATAATTAATGAGCATTATTAGTCGGATGTGATGAATTTCCCAAAAAGTGATGTAATGGATTAATTCCCCGTGTGCTGGTAGTTGCTATCCGTGAGGCGGAATCGATAAAGTTCAAATAGAGTTCGTTGAAAGCAGAGTGTGATTGGTTCGGGAGGCTCACGACATTGGCCTACAGTAACTGGTGAATTGTAGCTGGGTGTTTTGGATTGGTCTAGTGAAAATATCGGAACGTGTCTCGATTTGATAAATTTTGCTGCTAAACTCCGTGATCCATTGGATTAACAAGCGGTAAGTCATCAACTCATAGTCACGTAGACACGGGGCCGAAGTATCGCAATCGGGCAAAGTTTTAAGTTTGATGTGTGACCTATATATCGTACAGTTCTAATTTAGTAACGCATGAGTAGTCGACGATGCTATGCGATTAGTAGAGTGCTACATCACTATGTTTTGTGATGATGTGTTTCGTATGGCGCTGTTGACCTGTGATTTTCCTAAACATTCAGCGTTAGATGTGGTTCGCTACCGGCAATAGAGACCAGACAGAGTGGAGACGCACGGGACGCGAACTCTCAAGGGGAAGCACGTTTACTTCCACGCGGTGATATATTGCGTAGCCGATCCGAAAATCTTAGCTTTCCGATATTGATAGATTGCACGCTCATTAATCTCCCGTGGTGAATTCTGTCGGATTCGTAGAGCAAGCAGCACATTTTGCTAATTGATGGACGTGAAAATAGACAATTATTATCAACAATAGCTCTGTCTGGGAGACGAAATCGATGGTGGTTGATTATGTGGCGAAGAACGTTAATTTTCATTCTGAAGTTTTGTTGTGGTATTTTAAATAGAAGGGTATGATTTTGATACTGTGTTGATTGTTTTGTAACACTGTATCAGGAAACAAAACTTAATTCGTTTGTACTTGAGAGTTGACTTATACAACGTCTACATTTTGTTTCAATTTGTTAAGAATTAATTATCGAGGATTATCACTTTATGGATTAACTCCGACTAGTATCGCTGGTAGATCACCTTTTCGTGGTACATTGGTATAAGTCTTATACTATAAGGTCTACCATATCCAACTCTCATCCTAAGCTCTTTGTTGACGGTTATAAACCTCGGATTTGACATTGGAAACAAGAAAAGGTTCGGACCAGTGCTCCGATGCAAGGTCAAATGCCAGTATCATCGCTTGTTTTTGTCACTAAGAAGACCTATTGTTATTGGTGTGAAGGCGTGTATTTGAAGAAGTCCTAAAATGTTTCAAATAATAGTATTCATGTGAGAACTATTTTGATTGATAAGAGGCTGCGTCTTTGGAGAGTTCCCAGAATTCATCAAATGATATGGAACATAACAATTGAAAGCGGATTCTTATGAAGCCTATTTTGATTGATGAGAGGACGCGTTCCAGAAAGCTTCGAATGATGCGGAAAATTACTATTGAATGAGGGTTCTTTTGAGAAGAGCAAGTATGTATTATTTACCTGTATCGAAAAAGAATACCTCATTACTTTTCCATAGTGAGTATGATTCGAACAAAGGGAAGAAAAAAAAAAACACAGACTCCTTAGTGGTGAATTAAATTGAAATGTAACTATGTCTTGTTTTATATGATTCGGTAAATCTTATGATAGTTTATGAAGACTAGATATCCCTCATTGAATCAAAATCATAAGATCCTGACTGTTTTTGTGAAACATTAAAATCATCTACATAATCTCTGTTGCATTGCGCCTATAACAACTAACCATACAACAAAATTTGTTTGAATAATTTTGTATTGTCAACATTTTACAAAAACATAGCTTAGGTTATCAATCACCTTGATTAATCCATCAATGCCTGTCTCAGACCTAATTATTTGTACTATGACTATGGCAGATTTACCAGTCATGGATATACGTTCCTTTTATGGTGTGCTCTAATAATCTGTAGAATTGGATTTGGGGTGTATTCTGAAGGAAATCTTCTTCGCTAGCTATGGGAAACTTTGAGTCCAGATGATATTTTTCAATGAAATTCGACGGGGATCTTGGAAAAGGCACCACTATATGTGAAAGTTAAAAAATTACCTTGTAATTGAAATACTCATGAGTGCAAAAAAAAACATTTTATTCCACTTAGCAACACCATGACAGATACGTATTTCGACTACAATGTGCAGTCTTCATAATTTTGCTAGCACTATATGGCTCGTAGAAATAGGACACGCATCGAAAAGGAAGTTAGATATCGTTTACGAAGGCAGCTAACGGGGAAAATGAGCCCGTTTTTATTTATAAAATACAAATACTTTATTCGGCTCCAAATAATAAATATCCGACCTCACATCTGTATATCGAACGCCGTGTTATCAGAAACCGATATTAACAGAAATTCGAGAACGGAATTGAAAGTGGGTCGGCCACACACTATGAAAAGTTGTGAAATAGAAATATTCAAGCAAGCCGTGGATTGGAATCCAGCAGGTCATTGCATCAGAGGCAGACCCATGGGCTCATGATGATGGATTTCAACAAATAAATAGGAAAAAATCAAGACCAACAATTGAAATGGCCTTAACTCCATTTTGTAAACAAACCTTGTAAGCCTATTTTCTCGCGAACCGAAACCTACATTTGCAAACCTAAACCACAAACAGGTAGAGGAGAATTTCTCCTACCTGTTCATTATGTTGGTTTGCCTTTGCCGACTTCGGTTCGCGAGAAAATGGCCTTACAAGGTTTGTTTACAAAATGGAGTTAAGGCCATTTCAATTGTTGGTCTTGAAATAACAGAAATCCGACCTGAGCTTAGCTCAAGACAAAAGCAAGGAGCAGCTCTGGATGGAAGTATTTCACATTGGTCCTATGCGCAACTGCACTATGGCCCAGGAATGCAATCTAGCGGAACAAAATTAATAGCTCTGAAACGAAGTATTTTCTTGAAGTTTCTCACAATAATTAGGATAGTTTGATACTCAACCGCATAGGTGGCGCCAAAATCTAATTATTTACTCCTATGAGTATCCCACTCTAAAGTAAAGTTCTAATATCAATTCCATCATTTCCATCAATTTGTAACTTTCATCGCGTACGAACTTATATTATTACTAGTTTTAATCTGTTGAAATCGAAATGAAATATAAAATCATGTTGATGTGTAAGTGTTTTAATTTTGTTAACGGAATAGAGTATCCAAACATATCGCTCTTTCAGCAAATCAGTTGAAACAGGCTGGTTGTTCAGACTTCATTGCTGAGCTCCTAAGCAACAATTTTTGTTTTATCGAAGTTTTACAGCCAAATTATAAAACTTTCCATGACAACCAAAAAACTTGAAATGTGAACCAGCTTAGGAGCATCGATTTTATTTCAGTTATAAGATCTAATTTCCGTCCTACTAAGCATAACCCGCGCTTTACCTTTCTTTTCTGACCGAGTTTAAACAAAAAATGTAATACATCTGTCAAATATGACTTCTATATTTATTCACTTTTCCATACGTACCGTTGCTGGATTTGATAAAGAGTCACAAATTGTTGAGATATTGTTTAAAATCTAATAGTGCTTCTTGATTCTAAATTCGTTCTACGAGTTTCGATTCCGTCCTAACGTATTGAAACGCCATTAGATTTTCTTAGTCCTACGGATAAACGTAGAAAAAGGGGATTTGCTAGGAGCGCTTCTTTTGTTTTGAGAACAATGAGCATAAATATTCACACAATGCGCTCTAACAGGATTTATGTTGTAGCTAATGAACTAACGCATCGTGAAATCATTGATATTATTGATCTTTGAAAAGATGATCGATAGAACGGAAATGGACGATTACGACGAAGTAGCACTCTACCCTATTATATACTTCACGTGGTTGTAAAACTTTCTCCTGGCCTGAAAGATAATCCAACCTTTTGAAGACTACTATAAAACTATGTTTCAATTACATAAATCGCTCCTGAAAAACTTGATAAAATTTAAATGCAAAACATTTTGATTCATTTGATGGGTTTAATTTGGATTTATTTGGTTGATGGGTTGCATTGATAAAATTTTATTGTGGTTTTGTTCTGTTGATGTTCGATGTGTGAAATCATAATTAATGACAATGTGTTAAAAATTATATTCTAGCATATTGTCTTAGCAAGTCTTATTACTTTTAATCAACTTGAATACATTTCAGATCATGCCGTTCAATATTTAAGGTGAATATTATACAGAATAGTAGTATACATTCTTTGCGCGAGAGCCCAAAACTGTAGATCCTCGAGCAGTTCCACATTAGCGATTGTCTCTTCCTCTTCATACTCAGAAGCACTGAAAAGGTTTTCATTTGTCAAATCTAAATCGATTTGATTATGTGCGTCTACAAGTGCCAACATCATTCCTGGTATCGATTTTTTTCCAGTATTGTATTCTCGGTATCCAAAACAACTGGATTTGCAGGCGTTGGATCCATAGTTCGATGTTCATTTATAATAATACTGTTCTGCGTCGAAGAATTCATTATTTGTCGAAAATTCTTTACACGATTTACAGTGTATTTTCTGTTATTGTTATAATGTATTTCTTCTCTGTAAATCTTAGGCTTTTGATAAGAATGATAGTTGTATTGAGGTTATAACGATGTATTATTAGAACTTTAAGTTTTATAATGGTCATAAAAAAGTATGTCACAAAATATTGTTGTATATTTTATTCTTCAGTTTTAAAGAGGGATACATAACCACCTTAAAGCCATAGTTAAAACTATATAGGCTGAGTTTTAATTTGGTAGTTATAAAATAGTTTAAGTAAAGACTACGGCCTAATTTTATAACCGCCACATAAAATCATAATACAACCATAGGTTGTCAGCGACGCTATGATAAAACAATAATAAAATAAGAATAAATCTTCCAAGCATTTAGATTGTAATTTGGGCTGTTTCCGGTTTCTCGGGAAATGTCATCAAATCCACAGGCGACAAATCTTCTCAACCATCAAAGTATGAATTACGTAAAGGAGTGCGCATTTGATTAGTATTGTTGCATTAATGGCCCTTCGCTCAATTTCTACTTCTGTTCAATTTTCACACTGCCGTGCTCTAGCGGAACTTATCAATCTATCCTCTTCAGAACTTTATCTAGCTAATAAATTATCGCACTATACCTTCATGTTAATATTAGTTAGCATTTTCTCGCATTTAATCATTCTTGTTCTCAATTGTTCTTGAAACCGTGACCGGGAGTTTCTACCAAGGCCCTCCATGGATTCCCCCTCAGCACGCATTCCAATGCCTTTCCGAAGCTATATATAAATC